CACCCGGTGCTGGGATTGCAGCTTCCGCTGCTGCGGAGCCCGCGGCGGGGCCCCAGGCAGTGTCCTTGCTGGGACGCAGCCCGCCGCCCCCAGGGTGAGCCCGGAGGAAGGAGCACCGCCTCCAGGTGTGTCGCTGGTCGTGGCCTTGGAAAGTCACATCCGTTCCGGACGTGACCCTGTGCGGGTTCCCCCAGGCAGCCGCTTCCTGGTCAGCCGCGGTTAGTGACTCGGCGTCGCTCTGTTCCTCTCGCACGGCGCTGGCGCTCAGGGCGCGGGGCTCGGCTCCGGAATGCGGGCGTCCTCGCCACGGCCCCGGGCCTCGCCCCGGCTCCCGGGGTGGCACCTGCCAAGGAGCTTCTGCTGCTTCTCATCCAGGAGCCAGAGAGGGCGGGGGCCGGCGGGGGCCGGGGGCCGGCCGTGCGGCTCTCGGGCCCGGGACCCGCGTGCTGCGCTTCCCCAGGTGAGCAGAGGGGCTGGGGGAAGGCTGAGGGGCAGGAGTCAGCCACCGGGTGAGGCGGCTCCGGCAGAGGCAGAGCGGTGCCCGGGCTGCCCGCCCAGGGGCCTGTCTTGGGAGGCAGGGACCCCAGGAGACCGCGTCAGTGGGACCGTGGGGAACCAGGACCCCAGTTGGCACAGCTGCTGAGCCCCCCAGTCAGTGAGCAGAGTCCAGGGGTCCCTGCGGGAGCCAGGCCGGGGGTGGGTTTCTGTCACTGACAGCGGAGGCTGTGCCGGCACAGTTCTCCTAAACTGACCGCCCGGGCCCCGCCTAGACCCGGAGCCACAGCCTCGCCTCCACTCTGCTCCTGCGAGGTCTGTCAGCCGCGGGGACTCTGTCCCTGAAGGGGCGAGCGAGGTTTACCTCTGAAGTGTGGAGCACCCACGCTCTCACGCCCAGACCCCCTCCGCGCGGGCACTGGGATCGGCCTCCCTCCCCCGCTGAGCCGGCGGCTGGCGGACCAGAGCGTGGGCAGTCCACCCCGGAGCGCCCCGGGCAGGAGGGCTGGTGGAGGCGTCCGCGGGACCCGAGTGGGCCGGGAAGAGGCTGTCTGAGCTGAGGGGAGGGGCAGCGTTAGTCAGCCAGGAGCGCCGCCCAGGGCAGAGGAGCCCCGCACGCACGGGCAGAGGCCCTGGCGGAGGGAGTGGGCCGCGCTGGGGGTCTGAGGGGCGGGGACAGAGGGTGAGGGTGGCTATGGGGCGGGGCTGGTCACCCGGGCTCACGGGCCGGCCAGGTCCTGCCCCTCACCCGTCGCAGTGGACGGGGACGTTGCCGTGGCAATGACCCCGCACAGGTGTCACTTGCTGCCTGTGGACGTGCTCTCCAGGCCCTTCTGCCTGCAGGACGCACCCCAGGCAGGCCCGCTGTGCATGTGTGTGCTCGCGCGTGTATGCCTGTGTGGGCTTGTGCGTGTGCACATATGTGCACACGTGTCTTCAGGAAGCACCGCCTGCCCCTGAGTGACCTCATACGGCACTTCCTTTCGGTTCACAGTTCCTCTCCCGCACTCGGGTCCCAGCGGTCACGTGGCGGGAGGGGCACTGGCTCCTGTGGGCCCTGCTCTGCAGAGACGGGGTCCCCGTGCAGAGGGACCGAGTCTGGGTTTGGGCCAGGCAGTCTGAGGGGGAGCCAGGCCCAAGGAGAGGCGCCCGGCCCCACCCGCGCCCTGAGCAGCCTGGGAAGCCCCTCTGGGCTCTGCCTCTGTGGAGGGTGCGGCGTGTGTGGCTCAGACCTCCAGGGTCACTGTCCTCCGCCGGGAAACGGCCACCTGGGCTCAGACCCTTACGCTGCACATGCCCAGACGTCCCCGCGTGCCTGAGTCACCGGCCCTTTCCGTGCCGTGTCACACGCCCCCGGTGCCCCCGGCGTGGCCCTGCCTGTGGCTGACCGGCTGCTGTGCTCACGGTGACCAGCCTCGCCGGGCAGCCGTTTGCGCAGACGCCGCCGGCCCAGCACGGTCCCGGCACTGCTGCCGACAGCTCCCGAGCTGCCGACCCGCTGTGCGGCCGTGGTGTGTCTCGCTGGCAGCTCGGGTTCCGGCTCACCAGACGCGGGCGGGAGCCTGTGCACCGTGCTCATCGTGCCCCTCCTGCTCTCCTGGGCGAACCGCCCCGTTGCAGCTGTCCGTTCCAGTGTGCAGCCCGGGCAACCGCACCGCCTGGGCGGGACCTGTGGCCACCGGGAGGTCTGTCCGCCGCGGAGAACACATCCAGTGTGGTCACCCCGGCCAGTGCCAGACCCCTCCACAGGCCAGAGGACAGGAAATGCGTCCGCCAGGAAGACCCCTGACCGAGGGGACGAGGGGCCGTGGGGCGGGGAGGGCCGTCGGTGCCGCCTCCGAGCGGGGCAGGAGCGCCCCTGGTGTGGGGCTGGCTCAGCAGGTGTCCGGTTTCCGGAAGACGTGTGTGTGGACCCTGACGTGGCCTCGCTTTCACCCCGTCCTCCTGTGGGAGCCCTGGGGGTAGGGGTGTCAGCCTGTCTGAGGGGCTCCCTCCCCCTGCTCGCAGGGCCCGCGTCGCCATCCGCTGGGTGCCCGCGGCTGTCCACAGAGCAGGGTCCCAGGGACGCGGGCCGAGGTGGGGCTCCCCGAGGCAGGAGAGAAAGGGGCCGGGCCGAGGGCTTTCGGGAGAATGGGGAGCGGCCCCGAGTCTGTCTCCTGTGGGAACACTTCCTCCGATAGTTCCTGTTTCTTGTTGTATGACACACGTGTGCGCGCGCGCGCGCACACACGGGCCTTGTGTGGCACACACGTGTGCACACACATACACACAGGGGCCTTGGTGTATGACACACGCATGTGCATACACACAGGGGCAATAGTTCGTGTCCCCTTGGTGTATGGCACATATACACATGCACACGTACATACAGGGGCCTTGGCGTATGACACGCATGTGCACATACACGGGCAATAGTTCAGTGCCCCTTGGCACATGACACACGTGCCCGCACCACAGGGGCCTTGGCGTATGACACGTGTACACACATAGGCAGTTGAAGACCCAAAGCTTCTTTCCAATGTGCGGGCCTTAAGAAGGAAGTAGGGCCAAAGCCGGTGTGGCTCAGTGGATAGAGCGTCGGCCTGTGGACTGAGGGGTCCCAGGTTTGGTTCCAGTCAAGGGCATGTGCCTTGGTTGCGGGCACATCCCTGGTGGGGGTGTGCAGGAGGCAGCTGGTTGATGTTTCTCTCTCATTGATGTTTCTAGCTTCTGTCTACCTCTCTTTTTCTCTGTTAAAAAAGTCAATAAAACGTGTATTTTTTTAAAAAGAAGAAGGAAGTGGGTGCGGGTCCTCTCCGGTGCCTTGGCACAGTGGCCCGGAGGGTGGGGCCGTGCCGAGAGCGCCCCCTGTCTGCAGAGACGAGCTCTCACACGAGAGCTCGCACTGCGGGCTGTGGAGTTGTGACACTTGCCTCGGGGCCAGATGGCCTGCCAGACCGGACATCCTCCGGTGACGTACGAGGGAGCGGCCGTGTGACCTCGGTTGTGACCAGGAGCCGCCCGCTCGCTCCCGGGGTTGACGTGGGCGCAGGCCCCGAGGCCGCGGTGACCGTGCTTCTCCTCGCAGGCTCCGGGGCCCGCCTCGCTGTCCGCTTCTCCCCGCTGCCGCAGGCCGTCCAGGTGAGTCCCCGCCTCGCCCGCGCCTGTCCTGGCCGGGCTCCCTCGCTGCAGTCACCGGGGTCTCCTGCTTGTAAGCACATGTCACAGGGAGAGGACACGTGTCCACGTCACGTCTGCGTGTCTGATGCGGTCTCCCGGCTTCAGAGCCCGGATCCTGGGCTGCGGCTGCCTTCCCGGGAATAATCAGGCTCGTGGCTGTGAGAGCGGCCGGGGTCCCAGCCTCGTGCTGGCGTGGGCCGCGAGCTGCACGCACCCCGTCAGAGCCACAGCCCGGCTCCCGCGTGGAGGCCCCTCTCTGTACCCACGTGTTCACAGAAGCAGGCAGACTCTCCCTGTGTCTGTGCGTGAGGGAGGGACCCTTGGTAAGGGCCAGGGTCAGCGCCAGAGGCCAGGGGGTCGGGCGGGTGCTGCTCTGAGGGTGGTCGTGGCGCAGGTGTTTCTAAAGGGTGCCTGGATCCTCAGCCTCGGTGGGAGGCGGGGGGGGGGGGGGAGCTGGTGTGAGTCAGTTTCTGAGCCAGAGGATGGGTGCTTGCCGGGCTAAGAAGCCATCTTATGTGTTTTTGAATTTTTCCAAAATGAAGAGAGAAACTCAGGTAACCAGGGTAGTAAACGGACCAACTATCACCACAAAAGCCCACAGCTGGTGCAGCAGCCGAGGCCCCACAGCTGGTGCAGCAGCCGAGGCCCCACAGCTGGTGCAGCAGCCGAGGCCCCACAGCTGGTGCAGCAGCCGAGGCCCCACAGCTGGTGCAGCAGCCGAGGCCCCACAGCTGGTGCAGCGGCCGAGGCCGAGCTGGACTCACCTGCTCTGGTGCCCACATCCTCTGTGGCTTCACTGCGGCTGCCCCGTGCGTGTGGCCTTGCCCCTCTCGCCTGGAGGTTCTCCCTCCCTCCGGCCTGGGGTGCCCAGCTCGCTCCCCCAGCAGCGGGAGGGAGGTCTGGTCCGGCTGCCCGCACTGCCAGCCCTCCACAGCCCTCGCCTAGCAGCGCCCCCTCTGCTGGCTCCTCTGCTCCCTCCCCCGCGACCCCCTCACACCTGCGTCCTCATCTCAGGTGACAGCTCCCCCGCCCTCCCCCGCCCCCACCCCAGGGTGCTGCTCCATCGGGCCTCTGCACCCACACCCGCCACTCACTGCCCACTGCCAAGGGCTGAGCGGCCAGCGGGGCATGGGACAGGCCCGGGACGGGGACGGGGATGGGTGGGTCCCACGGGCCAGGCTCGGGGGGTACAGAGGACCCGCCTGCTGCGAGGCCCCCTGCAGGGTCCCCGGGCCCTGAGCACGGATCGGCCCCGATACCGTCCGCACCTCTGACAAGCCCACCCGGAGGCAGACTCGGCGGGTCCCTCACACCGCCCCTCCCCTAGGCCGGCGCTAAGCCCCGCCATGGAGGACGGGCGCGAGCTGGACCTCACCTACGTCACTGAGCGCATCATCGCCGTGTCCTTCCCCGCCGGCTGCTCCGAGGAGGCCTACCTGCACAGCCTGCAGGAGGTGACGCGCATGCTGCAGTCCAAGCACGGCGACAACTACCTGGTGAGCGGGCGGGGACGGGGGCTGAGGGGGGACGGGGGCTGAGGGGGGACGGGGGACGGGACGCTGAGGGGGAACAGGGGATGGGGACAGTGAGGGGGGGACGGGGGACGGGACGCTGAGCGGGGAACGGGGGACGGTAAACGTGAGGACGGGGACGCTGCAAAGGCTGTAGCCAGGGGCACTGCGCTGGCTGAGACGTGGGGACTGAGCGCCGTGATGAGGGGCAGGCGGCCGAGGGTCATGGGACAGAGCTGGTTACAGGAGCACCGGGCCCGTTTGTCCTGCCCCTCGGAGGGTGGACACAGACACGGTGGGGCTCCCTGAGCTGGGCAGGCCGGCCTGTGGGAGGGGTTCCGTCCCCTAAAACACAGTGCGGTGAGGAAGCGGCAGGGCAGGGCAGGGCAGGGGCGGCGGAGGCTCCCTCATGTCCCACACGCCCCTTGCGGCCTTCCCCCCCCCGCCCCCCCGTGTCCCACACATCCCGGGCGGCCTTCCCCCCCGCCCCCCCCCCGTGTCCCACACGCCCCGGGCGGCCTCCCCCACCTCCCGTGTTCACACGCCCCGGGCGGCCTCCCCCCCCTCCCATGTTCACACGCCCCGGGCGGCCTCCCCCCCCTCCCGTGTTCACACGCCCCGGGCCTGCCACTCCCGCCACACGTGGTCTCTGCGGAGTGAAGTCCCCTCCTCGCCCCCAGGCTCCTGACAGGAGCGTTTCTGTCTCTGGTTCTTATCAGCCTCCTGGAGGGCTGAGCCGGGGAAGGGGAGGGGTGGCGCCAGGCACTCAGCAGTTAGTGCTGCAGGGGGAGGCCCTGCCCCATGCCCACCGGCTGCTGCCCCTGGTCCCCTGGCCACGCTGTCCCCATGCTGTCCCCATCCACAGCAGGCGAGCTGGGGCCCTGGGATGGGGCCCGCCCTCAGTGCCTCGCTCCCTCCGCTCCCAGTGCCAGGCTCCGTGTCCCTCCGCACCGGAGGCCTGGGTTCGGAGGGGTCCCCTTCCCGCGAGGAGCGGCCTCCAGGGGCCCAGACCCTCCCGCGGAGTGCTGGGCGACTGCCTTGGGGCGGCTGCCTTGGGGCGGCCTTCCTGAACTCAGAGGGGCTCGTGGCCGTCACATTCAGCCTGAGTGACCAGTGCCCTCGCCCTCCGGGACCCCGGGGTCCTCTGCCCGCACAGGGCACAGGCAGCCGCAGGGCCACAGGCCGGCCCGGCCGGCCCACCCCAGTGTGGCACCCACGCCAGCCCCTGTGCTGGCCCGGGCTCCCACACCCGGCCCTGCTGCCGGCTGTCCTGGCGGGAGGGGGCGAGGCCGGGGTGTGTGGGTGTGTGTGTGCGTCCCCGCTTCTCAGGGGCCGGTCCTCCGGGGCCCTCCTGAGGGCCTCGTGTGCTCCTTTTGTTCTGTGACGACCGCACACCTGGACACCAGCCCCTGTGGCCCGCCCTGAGCCCCACACGGCGCTCAGTGCCCGTGCCAGCCCAGCTCAGCCTCCGACTCCCTCCTCCTGCCTCCTTCCTCCTTCGCAGGTGCTGAACCTCTCGGAAAAGAGATACGACCTCGCCCGGCTCAACCGGAAGGTGCGCCCCCGCCCTGCCCCCCGCCCCCCTCCCCTCCGCCCCCGCCCCGCCCCCCTCCGCCCCCGCCCCCCTCCCCTCCGCCCCCGCCCCGCCCCCCTCTGCCCCCCCTCCCCTCCGTCTCCGCCCCCTCCCCTCTGCCCCCCTCCGTGTCGGTGCCGCTCCAGACGCTGGTCCTGCGGGCGCCGCTGCTCACTGCCCCGGCTCGATGGCGGGGTCAGGAGAGCGTGGCCCTGGGCCTCTCCAGGCCCCTGTCTCTGTGGAGACGATGGCAGGCAGGACGGCCCGGCACCCGCCAGGCGTGGCTGCACTTTTCTCATTTTCTCCCGAGGGAAGGGGGCGGGGGAGAGGCCTCCGTGGCAGAGCCGATGGCCGCCTCCTGCACGCCCCCCTGGGCACCGAGCCGGAGTCGCACCCTGACCGCGGCTCACAGGGCGGCGCCCAGGGAGCCGGGCGGCGGGCGAGGCCCCGGCGTCTTGTCCCCGGGCCCGTCTCCGCGCGGCCGCGCTGAGGCAGCGTCCCCGCAGGTGCTGGACGTGGGCTGGCCCGAGCTGCACGCGCCGCCCCTGGACAAGGTGTGCGCCATCTGCAAGGCGCAGGAGTCCTGGCTGCTCAGCGACCCGCAGCACGTGGTGGTCATCCACTGCCGGGTGAGCCGCCGGCGGGGGGGGGGGGGGGGGGCAGCACCCCTCCTGCCCTGGGGGGGGAGCCCTCCCTCCCAGAATTCCTCCTGGGGGGGTGGCCTCTCCTCCTGCCCGGGGGGCCCCTCCCTCCCAGAATTCCTCCTGCCCCGGGTGGAGGCCCTCCCCTCCCAGAACCCTCCGGCCGGTGGGCAGCGGCCTGTGGACCAGGTCCCTGAGGGCAGTGGCCTCGGTCACTCATGCCCGGGCATGTGAGCAGGTGTCCGTTCTCGGAGCCCCTATAGAGAAGAGAGGGCACCCAGTGCTGCTCGGACCCCCCCCTCCCCCCGTCTGGCCACTGACCGGGCCTTGTGGGCAGGACGCCGGCCGATGGGGCCTCTGTCCTCGCGGGGGCCGAGCGGCTGTGGGAGGGCAGCACGCCTCTGCCCTGGGCCCTGTGCGTGCCCTGCTGCCCGCTGCCGGCCCTGTGCTGGCGCCCGCCTCACCGACAGGAAGCCAGCGTGGGCGAGGGGCGGGACACTGACGCTCCTGTCTCCGCAGGGCGGGAAGGGGCGCATCGGCGTGGTGATCGCCTGCTACATGCACTTCACCAACGTCTCCGCCAGGTAGGCTGCGCTGCCGGGCGGCGGGAGGCCGGCCCGTCCCTCTGCGGCCCCGGGAGAGCCCGCCCAGGCGGAGGCCATGCTCCTGGTCGGGGACAGGCCTGTGCACGCGTGTGACACGCTGACACCTGGAGCCTGGGAGACACTGTGCATGCACTGCCTCCCCCCGGCTGCAGGGGGCAGTGCCGTATTCAAAGCAGGAGTGAAGCCGGCTTCCTGGGAACAGGCGGGGAGAGAGGGCCGCACGCGGGGTGTGCACGCGGCCAGGGCACTGGCATCCTGTCCCTCTGGTCCCCCGGAGGCAGGTCAGGCTCCCACTGACAGGAGGACACACTGGTGGGGTCAGGTGCCGGCTCAGGAGCTGTGCGGCCGGCTCTTGGGGTTGGAAGAGCCGTCCCAGGATGAGCCGCAGGGACGAGCTGCCGCCCCCCTCCCCCCCGCAATGGGAGCACCGAGAGCAAGGGGGCCGCAGGGCACCCCGAGACCCCCGGAGCCCATGCGCGCCCCACGTCCGGGGGAAGCTTGCCCCTCGGCCCTGTGCAGTCCCGGCGTCTCAATGGCCATGTTGTGCCTCAGTGTCCGTCCGTCCGAGGAAACAGAAGCCGGTTCAGGGAGCCCAGCCCCTCCTCCCTGCAGAGGCTCCTCTATTTTCCCTGGAAACGGAGCTGGGCCCGGAGGAACACCCGCCCGCCGCCGGGGAGGAGCGGATAATGAGCCCTGTGTGCCGCTCCGGCTCCAGCCCTCGGCGAGGCCAGCGGCACTTGGCAGGGACCAGGCTCCCTCCCGCGGCCCCCGCACAGAGCCCCCGTGTTCCTGCCCCACAAGGCGGCTCTGTCTGCACCGACCGCGGGCGGGGCTGGTGGGGTTGGAAACGAGGACGGCTGAGAGCCGCCTTTGCCGCCGTCGCACACGCGGGTCAGCCGCACGGCCCGCGTGAACACACTGCCCCGTCCATGGCCCCAGCTTCTCTCAGGACCGGCTGCGGCTGGCCAGGCCCTCAGGGCATCTGGTCTGGCCCGGCCACGACGTGGGGTCAGTGGCACGCTGACCCAGCGCAGCCGCTGACGTGAGCGGGGAGTGTGTGGCCCACCCAGATGACGATAGACCACCACAGGGCCCTGGGCAGAAGGTGGCTGCCCACCCGCCCACCTGCCCAGCCCTCCGGCCGCCGCGCCCCGGGCCGCAGAGCCATGGGGGCCCGTCAGCCGTGCCTGCCACTCCCGCGGCGTCGGGGAGCGGTGCGCTCGGGCCGGGCCACAGACTCCCTCCGAGGTCCAGACAGAAAGTTCCGGGCACCAGCTCCTGGAGACACGCGTGGGAGGCAGGCCCTGCTCACAGCACAACACGGATAACACGCCGGCCGAGCGTGAGCACAGCCCCGGTCACCAAAACAAGGGGCCTCCAGACGAGGGGCGCAGGGGCGTTTCTACAAAACTCCGGGGCCCAGCCCCTCCGGGGACCCGCAGCTGCGCCAGGGGGCCCAGTGGGGTGGCCGCCGTCCTCCTGTCTGCTCAGCACCTCCGGCCTGGCCCCCATTTCCAACGTGTTTCTGGAGCTGTGAGCAGAGGCCACATGCGGGCCTGGTTTTCCAGGAAGGTCTGGGCTGCGTGATCCTGTGACGCTGTCTGACCGGCACATTCCGCGGCTGTGCTGAGTCAGGGGTGGGGGAGCCGGGAGGGGCGTCCGGAGGAGCCGGCGTGGAGTGAGTCACGTCACAAACCGCCACGCCACGTGGTCTGACCTCTGAGCGTGTCAGGCTGTGACTCCCGCCCACCCATCTCGCCAGAGCCTCCGAAGCCCCGGCGTGTGGCCCGCGGCGCCCCCTGGGCCTGGGGTGGCCAGCGGGGGTCACGGCCTGGCGGGGCTGTCTCCTCCGGTGTGTGGGCTGCAGCTGGGCCCGCTGGCCTCGGCGTGTCTGTGGGCGGGTCCGGGAAGAGAGCTGATCGCCTGGTGCCGCACAGAGCCTGGCGTCCTCGGCTCGGCGCGGCTCTGACAGCCGTCTCTCCCCCCAGCGCCGACCAGGCCCTGGACAGGTTCGCCATGAAGAAGTACTACGACGACAAGGTCTCGGCCCTGATGCAGCCCTCCCAGAGGCGGTGCGTGTCCCGAGGGCCAGGAGCGGAGGGCGGCTCGCTGGGCGGGGGCAGGCCCAGCTCCTGCTGACCGGGCGGCTCCGCCATGAGCCCCTGGTGGCCGGGCCCGCAGCAGCCGGCCCTCTGGTCCCGGTTCCCCGCCCTGTATCCCCCCCACCCGCCACCTCGGGCGCTCCTCCTGGTAGCTCCGGGCGACACAGGGGCTCGGTGGAGCCGGTCTCCTCACGCACAGATCCAGCCGCTCTTTTTGAACTAACGGAGCACAGTGCATGCATTGCGGCGTAACATGGAGGTTTTTAAAAAATATAACGAGGCTGAGCCTGCTGTTCGGTTGGAGGGCGGCCGTCCTGGGCGGGGGATCCACGCCATGGTCAGATATTGGGGTTTCCTTGTTCGTGGAGTCAGGCCCCAGGAGGAGGGGGGCCGTGGTCGGGCAGCATCAGGCGTGGCAGGCTGGGCCCCTGCTCGGTCCCTCCACACCCCGAGCCCCAGGGCCCAGCGAGGGAACATCCCATTAATTGTTTTTATTTATTTTTAATATATTTAATATATATATATATATTTTTTACTTTAGAGAGAGAGGAAGGGAGAAGGAAAGAGATAGGAACATCTATGACGAGAGAGAATCATAGATCAGCTGCCCCCTACCTGCCCCACACAGGGAATTGAGCCTAAAACCCAGGACTGTGCCCTGACTGGGAGTGGACCCAGAGTCATGCCAGCCGGGCAGAGCCGTCCCCTGACGGCCATATGCACACATGGGGGGACGGGGGGGGGGGGGGCGTGTAGGCACCACCAGAGACATGGGCTGCACGGCCCAGCCCCCTCCCATCCCCACTGGCTGGGCCACCAGGTGCCCCTGAGCCACTCACTGCCTGTGCCTGCAGGTACGTCCAGTTCCTCAGCGGGCTGTTGTCAGGGACGGTGAAGATGAACGCCTCGCCCCTCTTCCTGCATTTCGTCATCCTGCACGGCACCCCCAACTTCGACACTGGCGGGGGTGAGTGTCCCCGCTGGGCGGGCGCCGGGACCCCCTGTCTCCGAGGGGCGGGCACTCTCCATCCTGAGGCCCAGGCCCTGGTCAGGACTGGACAGGCCACCTGTGTGGTGGGTCGCTTGCTTCTCAGGAAGGACAAACAGCCCAGAGGACCCCGGGCCCCTCATGCTGCTGTCCGACTGCGGCACTGAGCCCAGCCCGGAGGCAGCTAGTGGGGCCGTTCAGTGCGCCTTCCTCTCATCACCCTCCCGGGCCTGCGTGCTCCGGGCGATCACACCCCCTCTCCCTCCCTCCCCGCAGTGTGCCGGCCCTTCCTGAAGCTCTACCAGGCCATGCAGCCCGTCTACACCTCGGGGATCTAGTGAGTGTGCGGCCTCCGGGCTGGTGCGGGAGGGGCGTGGGCAGAGGGTGCCGAGGTCAGTGTCCTCGCGGCTGGTGCTGCGTCCCGCTGGCTTCACTGCCGCCTCCCGCCTCCCCGCCTCCCCGCCCGGCTGTCAGGCTCACTGCGGCGTGGACGGAGGGCGGGCCCCGCTGCTGGGGGAAGGAGGCACGTCCGTGCGGCAGCCTTTAAGGCGGCCTTTCTCTGTCCTTTGCATTTAGAGAGGCTCGATGTACATTCTAGAACTTACTTTTCTTTCTAATATGTTCTTATTGGCTTCAGAGAGGAGGGGGGGCGGGAGAGAGAGAGAGAAACATCAATGATGAGAGAGCCATGGATCCGCTGCCTCCTGCACGCCCCACACGGGCTTGGTGGGGAATTGAACTGTGACCTGGTTTGTAGGTTGATGCTTAACCGTGAGCCACGCCGGCCGGAGCATGCTCAGAACCTGGCCGTTCTGGGCTGGCTGGTGTTGGCCTAGCGCCTTGTGACATTCATGACAATGAGTGAGGCAGGAAGTGTCCTCGCCCCATGGCGCCCTGGGAACCAGCTGCTTGTTTCTGACGCACTGGCCCTAGGCCGGGACCGCGCCCCCTCCGCTCATTCCTCCGCGCCCCTGCCCTCCGGGCCCCTGCCCTCCGGGGGCCTGCAGGCCCGCCCAGGCCTCAGCACTGCCCGCCCAGCTTCGCTCCCGAGCCATGTCCCCGCGGCTCCCGAAGCCGGTCGGGCCTCGGGGTGGTGCTTTTCTCAAAACGCCTTCCTCCCTGAAGCCCTGCGATGACGTGACCACCACCTCCTTGTTTTCCCAAAGCAACGTGGGCCCCGAAAACCCGAGTCGCATCTACATCGCCATCGAGCCGGCCCAGCTCCTGAAGGGGGACGTCATGGTGAGTGCGGCCACCGCTCAGGGAGTCAGAGACAGTGACCGTGACCCTGGCCCAGAACCTCAGGCAGCTGGTTAATGCGAGGGAGGGGAGCCCCTTTACCCAACGGACAGAGCACATCCCTCCTGAGAAGGACCTGAGGAATCCGCATGGGAAGGAAAATGCCGGGACCTTCCGGGAGCGGGGTGGGCGTGTCCCGGGGCGGGGCGTGTCCCGGAGCGGGGGCGTGTCCCGGAGCGGGGTGGGCGTGTTCCGGGGGCGTGTCCCGAGAGGGTAGGCGTGCCGCGGAGCGGGTTCCGGGAGGGTGGGCGTGTCCCGGGCGGGGGCGTGTCCCGGAGCACAGGTCCTTCGGTTGCTGAGCCTGAGAGGCCAGATGGTACCGGGCCCCTCCCTCCGGCCACCTCTCTGGGTCCCCGGACCCCGGCCACCCGGGTGCCCCATGCGCCGGCCGGGCGGCGTTAGGCCGGGCGGCGTTAGGCCGGGCCGCGGCGCGCGTGGCCGCGTGGATGCGCTCGGCCTTCCGGCCGCTCCGGCGGCAGCTTTAGTTCTCCATCCGGAGCGGCACCGAGGCCCGCGGAGAGGCTGCTGAGCCGCCGCAGGCAGCCGGCCTGGCCAGGCCACGCTCCGAGCCTGGGCGGGCGGGAAAGCCCGGGGCCCGTGGCGCTGCGCTCGTCACCCCTTCGCCCGGGCCGTGAGGTGAGGCCGCCGCCACGGCCCTCACCGGCGCTGAAGGTCGCCGCGCCCGCGGGGGGCGGCTCCAGAGCCGTAAGCACCGCGTTATGTAACCGGGAGGAATGCGCGGGGAGGCCCGGGGGAGCCGGCCGGCTCCGGAGCCTCCGCGGTAAACAGGTTCCGTCCTGCGTGTTGGTCCTGCGTGAGCGAGCCTTGGCCGCGGCGGCTCGGCCCGCTGCAGGCTCCGTCCGGACGCCCCAGGCCTCCGGGGGCAGAGACCGCTGTGCGCTGCTCCTGCGAGCGCCCAGGCGGGAGGGCTTCCCTCTCCCTGCACCCGGCTCCTCCCCTGACCCCCACCTCCCGCTTCCTGGGTCCGTGAGTCCCGGGCCGCCCGTGAGCTCAGCGCCGGGCTCAGCGCGGGGCTGTGTGTCCGGGGGCAGCGCCTGCTGACGCTCCTGTGGGACGAAGGCGCGGAGCCTGCGTCATCGGCTCGGAGACCCGGCGCGCTGCGGGCAGCCAGGCCTGCGGTGGGCGCTTGCCCGGGAGACATTCCTGAGGCCTGTCTAGACAGCCATCCCACAGGGAGAAATGCCGACTCTCCCGGCAGGGTGCACTGGGGGCCCCCAGTTTTTGTGGTCTGTGTTGCCTGTGGAAGCTGAGATGATGGGGGAGGGGGGATGCAGCCGGGGAGGCTGGCCCAGGGCGTGGGGAGCCGGACTGGCGGACGCTGACCCGGGCAGGGCCCCCGGCGCCCTCCAGCCTCGCTCCCTGGGCCGGGGCTGGCTGCTGCGGGTGGAGAAGGGAAGTGGAGCTGCCCCGATGGGCCCAGGGTCAGGCCCGGCATCTGCAAAAGCAGCTCGGGTCCCGCGGTCAGAGCCCTCACAAAGGGACCCGCCCCTGTGCGTGCCCGTCACCGCTCAGCGTCCAGGAGGCTGGAGGGTGTGTGCCGCGCCCACAGCCGCCGCTTCTAGCCACTCATCACCCTCAGAACCTCACAGCCCACCTCTCCCTCCCCCTGTCTGTGTCTCTGTCTCCCCACCCCTGCTTTCCTCTCTCTCCCTCCCTGTGCCCCGTCTCTCTCACCGCGGCCCAGGCACACACACACGCTGCACACACGTCCGCTAATGACCACCGGCTGCCTTTGTGGGAACACGGAGCGGTCCGACAGCCGAAAAGCTTCCTCACCGGCGTGTTGATGTTGAGGAGAAAGGCCATGGGTTCCACATGGCGCATGCCTCCCCGAGACTGCCTTCCGGGGTCTGAGCCGGGGCGGCCCTCAGGGCTGAGCGCAGGGCACTGTGCACTGGGGTCCAGCTGGCCCTGCCCCGGCACAGCCAGGGCCGGCGGGGCTGTCCTGAGCCCGCTCTCCGCACCCGCAGGTGAAGTGCTACCACAAGAAGCACCGCTCGGCCACGCGGGACGTCATCTTCCGCCTGCAGTTCCACACGGGCGCAGTGCAGGGCTACGGCCTGGTGTTCGGCAAGCAGGACCTGGACAGCGCCTGCCAGGGTGAGGCCCGCGGATGGGCGGGCGGGCGGGCAGCGTGGGGCACCCGCCGTGGGGCCTGCGGGATCCTCTCCTCCCTGCCCCTCCCCCTAACGGCCCAATGGACCGAACTGACCAATGGCAGGACAGACGGACAGCGTTTCTGTGCGGGCGCGGGGACGGCTCCCCACGCGGCCTGGTGGGGCGTGGGGCGCGGCCTCCGCGGCCCTGCCCCTCGCCCGCTGCTCGCTGAGCCGCTCTCCGTTGCAGATGACCGCTTCCCCGCCAGCGGGAAGATCGAGCTCCTGTTCTCCGCGTCCCCCGAGAGGATCCAAGGTGGGTGCTGGGCGGGGCCGGTTCGCGGGCGGGCGCGGGGGCTCCGGGCTGTCTCCCACCTCTGCCCGTGTTCGGAAATGTTCACGATACAGGCTTTTTAACTTTGGTTTGTTTTTTTTTTAATCCTGACCTGAAGATATTTTTCCCATTGATTTTTAGAGAGTGGAGGGAGGGGGAGACAGAGAGAGAAAACATCGATGTGAGAGAGACACATCGGTTGGTTGCCCCCGATTGGCCCGGGAGCCAGCCTGCAACCCAGGTACGTGCCCTTGATCGGAATCGAACCTGCGACCCTTCAGTCCCCGGCTGGTGCTGTACCCACTGAGCCACACTGGCAGGCGCCTGATACAGGTCTTAATCATAGGCTGATAGACAGTGGTGAGGACGGGCCACGTCCTGCCCCCTAAGCTCTGTCCCTCCTCCTGGGACGGTCACACCAAATTACTCTCCTCCTGAACGAACACCCACGTGTCTGCAGAAGGTCCACGCTCTGGCGTCGGCGCACGCTTGTGTTTAAAGCAGGCTCTCCTTTTTCTGGAAATACCCTGGAGAGCCGCCAGCCCTCCTCCCTCCGGCTCAGGGTTCGCCTCCACCTGAGCTCCCCGCGTGGGAGCCGTCCACCCGCATGCCCTTGGTGGGCCCTCCTGGCTCGGCCCCCTCAGGCGGGGGCTTATGGGCCGGCCTGGCCGTGGACTGGGGGCCCCGCGGTCCTCCTCCCTGCGGAGCCGGTGGGGGCGCCTCCGGACGGCGGGTGCTCGCACAGCGATGCCGGCCGGAGGGCAGGCGGCCGGAGCAGCCCCACCGTCCACAGGAGCCCGAGCGCCGGCTCTGCTGACTGGCCCGCCCTCGCCCGCAGGCTGTGAGCTCTTCCGCAGCGACCGCGGCGTGAGCGTGGACTTCAACACGGCCGACCCCCTGATCCGCTGGGACTCGTACGAGAACCTGGGCGCCGACGCGGAAGGTGCGTCTGGGGCTGGCCGCTGCCACACGCTGGGTCGGACGGTCCGAGGACCAGGCTCTCGGTGGGGCTGCGATGGGCCTGGCCGGTCAGTAAAAGGACCAGCTCGGAGCTTCCCTGCTGGACGGCGAGCAGCCTGTCCCAGTGACCTGCTCCCTCCCGCTCCCCATGGCGCATGTGCCTCAGGGGCAGTCGGGGCGGCCGGCCTTCCCCACACCCGCTCTCCGCTCACTTCCGAACGTGCCCTGTGGTTGGGGCCGCTCTGAAGCAGGGAGGCGGTGTGTGCCTGTGTACGGGGAGGGCCACGGAGATCCATGTCAGTGGGCACAGATGGCCCCTGGGCTCCTGAGAACTCAGTGCTTCATCTCCTTCAACCAGCGACTGAGAACTAACCCTGGTGACTGCAGGCCCAGGCCTCCCTGCAGGGGCACTTCCTCCTGGGGGGGCGGGCCCAGGCCTCCCTGCAGGTGCACTTCCTCCTGAGGGGCAGGCCCAGGCCTCCCTGCAGGTGCACTTCCTGGGGGGGGGGGGGGCGGGCCCAGGCCTCCCTGCAGGGGCACTTCCTCCCGGGGGGGGGCGGGCGCAGGCCTCCCTGCAGGGGCACTTCCTCCTGAGGGGGTGGGCCCAGGCCTCCCCGCAGGTGCACTTCCTCCCGGGGGGGCGGGCCCAGGCCTCCCCGCAGGTGCACTTCCTCCCGGGGGGGGCGGGCCCAGGCCTCCCTGCAGGGGCACTTCCTCCTGAGGAGTGGGCCCAGGCCTCTCCGCAGGGGCACTTCCTCCTGAGGAGTGGGCCCAGGCCTCTCCGCAGGGGCACTTCCTCCTGGGGGGGGGCGGGCCCAGGCCTCCCCGCAGGTGCACTTCCTCCTGAGGGGCGGGGCCCAGGCCTCCCTGCAGGGGCACTTCCTCCTGAGGGGGCGGGCCCAGGCCTCCCCGCAGGTGCACTTCCTCCTGAGGGGCGGGGCCCAGGCCTCCCTGCAGGTGCACTTCCTCCTGGAGGTGGGCCCAGGCCTCCCTGCAGGTGCACTTCCTCCTGAGGGGGTGGGCCCAGGCCTCCCCGCAGGTGCACTTCCTCCTGAAGGGCCCAGACATCCTGGAGGAAAAACTGCCGCCTTTAAATGTGTGATCACAGAACCTGGAGCAGAGAGAAGGGCCCGGTGCACGCGTCCCCACACAGCCCCTCCCCGTCGTGGGTGCAGGGTCCCCTCCCCTCGCGCCTGTCCCAGCAGCGGTCTGGGCGTCCCTCCCAAGGTGTGCAGGGCCCGCGCTGGGGAGAGAGGGGAGGAGTTGTGACAGCTCGGCCAGGGACAGGGCGGGGCGCAGGCGCCGGGCTGGGCTGAGGCAGCGGACTTGGCACTGGCTGGCCGGGCGAGGAGCCTGGAGCGGGCCTGCTTTGCGGAGCTTTTCTCCGCCTCCTGGGCCTCGGGGTTCAAATTTCACCAGCCTGAGTGCACAGCCCACCTCGTGTTTACACCGCCGCCTTTTGGGGAGTCAGAGTCCCCGCTCAGCCAGCAGGCTGCTCCCCCTCCCGTGCTCGCTCAGGGCGGGAGCCGGGGGCGGCGGCCTCGGGAGGCACGCCCTCTGGGCTGAGCTTTCTTCCCGGAAAAGGGAAAGCGGTCCCACAGAGCCGGAGGGACCGCGGCGGTGTGGAAGGTAGGCAGGCATGTGCCTGTATACGCGTGTGCGCGCGCACGTGTGTGGTGTGGGTAGGCAGCTTCTGCCACCCCCCTGCACCGGACAGCGTTCTGCCTGGGGCCGCGCAGCAGACGGTCGGAGGCGGGAGACGGGGTGGGGCGCGGGGGAGGCTGGGAGCCCGGTGATAGCCGCCTGGGGGACTGGCTCTCCGTCGGTCGGCGGTGTTACTGCTTCTCCGGGTGGGAGGTCGAGGCGGCGTGTCTGAGAGGCTGCCAGGCCGGTGCCCGGGCGTGCCGGCGGGAGAGGGGCCATGCCGGCCCCCGCTGTCGCCCGTCCAGTCGCCACGTCCAGGACATGCCAGCCACTCCGTGCCCCACGCCTAGCGGCTGTGGGGGCCGCATTCCGGACACCGGCGGAGCCTCCCGGGGCTGGTCCCACAGGCACGCCCCTCCCGCGCCTGCTGCTGGTTGGAATGCCGCCTCCTCCGCCTGCTCTTCCTTCTCATCTGTGTCTCTGAGAAGCTGGGGCTGCTGCTTCCAGAAAACAGCCACGCGCACAGCCCCTGGCGGCAGTGGCTCTGCCCAGAGCCTCCCGCCTGGCAGCTCAGACCGCTCTGAGTTCAGGGCTCGGCTCTGGGTTGGGGCCCGGCTCTGGGTTTAGGGCTCGGCTCTGAATTTGGGGTTCAGCTCTGAGTTGGGGCCCCGGCTCTGGGTTGGGGCCCGGCTCTGGGTTGGGGCCCGGCTCCGGGTTGGGGCTCACCAAGCATGCCTCCTCAGGAGGAGAAGGAGGTGCGGGGGCACTGCTGAAGCCCGCCTGGGCGCAGTGGCTTTGGTCTGTCAAAAGGCAGGCCGCACGTCACGTCTGGGACGGAGTGGTCTGTCACCATCCTTGCTGCTCCCATTTTTATAAAAAGAGGCCGAGGGCGCAGTGAGGCTCCGCCGGCTGCCGGGGTCCGCCGGCCACATGGACGTTCTCAGAAGCCAGGGCGGGTGGGCGGCTGGTGGCCGCGGGAAGCAGGTCCACCAAAGGGAGGCGCGTCGTGCCCGGAGGCGGCTCTGATGCAGGGAAGTGTACGCAGATCTGGCGGCAGTCAGAGCGCCGCACGTGGCCTGGGCAGGGGCTTTCGGAACCGGATACGTTTTTTAAACCCGCTCTCCAGCACGGTCCTCCGAGCGTGAGGTCCGTGGAGCTGGGTCAGGCACACGCAGTGGTCAGACACGAGGGGACTCCCTGTCCCCCAGCCTCTGCGCCTGGGATGGACACCGTGGCGCCAGGGCAGCCCCAGCGAGGCACCGAGCGTTGGACACAGAGGCAGATGGTGGGTTGTCTCTCCTCTGGACACGTCTCCTGGGGGCCAAGGCCGTGCGCCCTCCGTGGCCACGGGGAGCTGTGGAGGCGGTTCTGGATGTACTGGACGCACCGATGGTTTGGCTGGTGGCCAGGGGAGTGAGTCCCTGGGCGGCCACGGGGAGCACCCCCGGGGCTGCTGGGCCGTGTCCAGAGGAGCCCATCCCCCAGTGGGGCGGGCGGGCGGGTGGGGCCGTCCCTCACGGTTGAACCTGGGGGCGCCGAGCGGCCATGGGGACCAGCCGGGGCCAAAGTGCTCGTCCGCCCAGCAGCTGCCGAGCCCGGCCTCCCTGGGACAGAAGCCGCCTCAGGACCGGGGTCGGGGGTCGGGGGTCGGGGGGTGGGAGGACAGGGTGCTTGAGTCGTGGCTGAGGAATGGCGTGTGCGTGTGGAACGGCAGGGAAAACATCCGGTTGCTGATGGCGCAGACAGCGGTGGGTTGGGTCTGGGGTTCCTGCGTTTTAAGGCGCAGAAGCAGACGAGGCGGATGGAATTCCTGGGGGGAGCTCAGCGGTTCCCTCGCAGCCCACAGCCCAGCCTGCGGGCCTCCCTGTGGGCTCCCGGCCCCTGCGGCCACATCGTGGGGACTCCCACGGTGGCCGCCCTGGCTCCGGAGGTGCTGGAGGTGCTGGGAGAGCCGTGGGCCCCGCCCGGCTTCGGGCTCCCTCTTCCACACCTAGAGCCGCCTTCCCGGCCACACCCCTCCCATCCTCCTCTTCCCGCCTCTGCCCCCTGCCCCCGCCCCCCCTGCTCCCGTCCCTCCCCTGCCCCCCCCGCCCCGCCCCCCCTGCTCCCGTCCCTCCCCGGCCCCCACACCCCCACCCCCCCCCCGCTCCCTCCCTCCCCGGCCCCCCGCCCCCGCCCCCCCGCTCCCGTCCCTCCCCTGCCCCCCCGCCCCGCCCCCCGCTCCGTCCCTCCCTGCCCCCCCCCCCCCGGCCCTCCTGCTCCGGTCCCTCCCGCCCCCGCCCCCCCTGCTCCCGTCCCTCCCCTGCCCCCCCCGCCCCGCCCCCCATGCTCCCGTCCCTCCCCGGCCCCCACGCCCCCCCCCCCCCGCTCCCTCCCTCCCCAGCCCCCCCCCGCCCTGCCCCCCCCTGCTCCCTCCCTCCCCAGCCCCCCCCCCGCCCTGCCCCCCCCTGCTCCCTCCCTCCCCGGCCCCCCTCCGCCTCTGAGGACGGCCTGGCCTGTGCTGGGTGAGCCCAGCCGTGGAGGGGCACGCTCCCCAGGGGTGGTCCTCGGGGGCGTGTCCAGAGAAACGCAGAAAAAGTGGGGAGGGTAGATGCAAACGCCCCCCTCCTGCCAGAGACTCCGGCTCCTCCGCGGAGACCTTCAGGGGAGGGGCACAAAGTTGCTTTTCTTAAAAGTTGATGTATTTTAACGATTTTTTTTTTAGCGAGAGAGAGGAAGGGAAAGGGATAGAGATGGAAACATCGAAGAGAGAGAGAGAGAGACACATCATGGACCGGCTGCCTCCTGCACACCCCCTCCCCCGGGGACGGAGCCTGCAATGCAGGCATGTGCCCTCACTGGGAATCGAACCCGTGGCCTGCTGGTTCCTGGCTTGACCGATGCTCAACCGCTCAGCCACACCGGCCAGGCAAAACATTGGTTTTTTAAGTAAACCTGTCACCCAGGAGGACAGGTTCCTAGAGGCGGCGCTGGGAGACCCAGGGGCTGACGTTTTGTGGGAAGCTGGGCTGGGGCATTACACTCAGTTCTGCACCTCTGGGGCTCAGTGGTCAGCGTTTGGAAGGAGTGCCTGTAACACATCTATGAGCGTACACCTGAGCACACACGTGTGAGCCCACACCTGGCTACACGCCTGTGAGCCCACACCTGGGCACACGCCTGTGAGCCCACACCTGGCCACACGCCTGTGAGCCCACACCTGGGCACACGCCTATGAGCCCACACCTGGGCACAGGCCTGTGAGCCCACACCTGGGCACAGGCCTGTGAGCCCACACCTGGGCACACGCCTGTGAGCCCACACCTGGGCACACGCCTGTGAGCCCACACCTGGGCACAGGCCTGTGAGCCCACACCTGGGCACACGCCTGTGAGCCCACACCTGGGCACAGGCCTGAGTGCACAGGTGGGCACTGGTTAACTTGTGCTCGGCCGTGATGGGAAGCACTGTTTTCTCAGGTTACTTTGGAAGTGTTTCCTGAGAACCTCTCCCCTCTGAGAAAGTGCCTGTCAGAAGCAGGGGCTTCGGGGTGGGTGGGGCGGTGACCAGCCGCCGCCCTGCAGTGAGGCCCCTCCTCCGGCCCTCCGTGCGCCTCCGCGTCCCGGGCAGGCGGCCGTGTCTGAGTCTGCCCCCGCGCCCCGGGCCCTGCGGCCAGAGACGCTGCGGTGTCTCCCTGTCCCTCCCTCGGACACAGGTAGGCGTGCACAGATCCAGTGCGGTCTGTCCAACGGGAGTGCCCGCCCAGGGGCTCCCGCTGGGAGGGAGGCCTGCCCGGTCCTCAGGGCACCTTCCTGCTGGCTGTTCGGGGGTTAGCAGGCAGAGCTGAGCTCAGCACCCCACCTGCTGGGGAAGCCAGCGGGCCCTCCGGCAGGGACCCTGAGTGGCTGTCTCTGCACAAAAAGGCAGACGTGGCCCTGGCTGGATGGGTGTCAGCCTGCAGACTGAGGGGTTCCGGGTTCGATTTCCGGTAAGGGCTCCATCCCCAGTGTGAGGTGTGCAGGAGGCAGCGGATCGATGATTCTCATCATTGATGTTTCTCTCTCTGCCTCTTCTTTCCTCTCTGAATCAATAAAAATCTTTTAAAAAGAAGAAAAAGGAAAAATTCATTCTAAGAAAAGGAAGCAGGCAGAGCCTAGTCCGGGGCCTGGCACAGATCCCTGAGCTGCTTCCGTGGCCTTCGGGGCCGAGCCGGGCCTGGTCCTGCGGGCTGTCCATTGGGAATGGGTCTGTCTGGACAGGTGCCCACACCGTTCCCAGGCCCGCCCCTGACTGACCACTCTCCTTCCTCCCCCAGTGCTGCACACGCAGGGCCCCGTGGACGGCAGCCTGTACGCCAAGGTGCGGAGGAAAAGCGCCCCGGACCCCGGCGCCCCCGCCGGCAGCCCCGACCACAGCGACCACGCCCTGTCGGTGAGCAGCGACTCGGGCCACTCCACGGCCTCGGCGCGGACCGAGGAGCCCCCGGCCCCGGGCCCGCGGGGTCTGAGCCCCCAGGAGAAGGCCGAGCTGGACCAGCTGCTCAGCGGCTTCGGCCTAGAGGACCCCAGCACCCCCCTCCGGGACATGACCGATGCCGGCGGCAAGGTCGGCGGGATGCGCCACGTCGTGCCGGCCCAGGTCCACGTGAACGGGGACGCCACGCCGAAGGACCGGGAGACCGACATCCTGGACGACGAGGTGCCCGGCCACGACCTGCGCAGCGCGGGCAGCGTGGGCACCCTGTCCTCCTCGGAGGGGCACCCCTTCGCCGGCCGCCAGAGCAGCCGCCACTCGCTCTTGTCGGACGGGCTTGGCAGCGGCGCCGGGGAGGACCCGCACGGCGCCCCCGGCGCGGACCTGGGCCTGGGCAGGGCGCCCCCGTGCGGGCGGGCGGGCTGTGAGCCCCAGCGGCCGCAGCCTGAGCTCCGGGCGCCCTGTGCGCTGGCCCAGGCGCAGGCCTACGCGCCGGGCGGCTACTCCACGCAGACCTGGGTGCGCCAGCAGCAGATGGTGGCCACCCACCAGTACAGCTTCGCGCCCGGGGAGGCCCGGCTCGTCGCCCGCGGCACGGCGGACAGCGCCCGCGTGGCACAGGCCCCGCCGGTGCTCCCGGCCGCCCCCGCCCGGGGGGCCGGCGGCAGAGTGGCCATGGGCTCCGGACCTCACCCCCCTGACACCCAGCGGCCCGCCCCTGGCAAAGCCCGGCTCCCGGGCATCGGCGTGGTGAACGGGACCAGCCCGGAGCCCAGCCTGGACCCCACCCCCGGCTCCCCCACCCTGGACATCGACCATTCCATCGAGCAGCTCAACAGGCTGATCCTGGAGCTGGACCCCACCTTCGAGCCCCTCCCCACCCACTTGAACAAGCTGGGCGGCCAGGCCAGCAGCCCCTCGGCCCCCGGCGGCGTCGGGGGCGGGCCCCGGGCCAGCGGCCGCCTGCAGGACCGCGGAGAGGACGCCGGCAGGGCCCCCGGGCCGCAAGGTGAGCTAGCCTCCTGCTGTGCAGGCAGCCGAGGAGGGAGCGGGTGGAGGCGGCAGCTGGCCTGGGCGCAGGCCGGGCAGGGAGGCCCCTGTGCCGTCCTGGCGGTGAGAGGCCCCTGTGCTGCCCCAGGCGCAGGGCTGAGCGCCGGGCGGGTCCTGCCAGTGGGCGGGGCGTGCGGAGGGACGATGGGGAGAGGCAGGTTCCGGAGGGCAGGCTGAGATGGCGGAACCCAGGATGGGAGCCCCAGGGCCCAGCACAGGACAGGCAGCCGGTGGGGACGCTGCAGCTGAGGGGCGGGCCTGCAGGGCCTATAGCCGAGATGCAGTGGCAGGAGCAGCCCGGCCGCCCTGGCCAGCCAGACTGGGAAGGCGGGTGACCACAGTGGCAGCAGTGGCCTGCAGTGTGGACGGGAGGGGTCAGGCTGGGGACCGCCCAGTGGCTTTAGCTTCGTAGGTTTTCCCGAGGAGGGAATGCGTCCTGGGACTCCGGACTCGTGAGGCAGGGCCGAGCGCGGGCGGGAATGCCGCTCCTCGGAGGGTGCTGAAACGGTGTGGGAAGCACACCCTTCAGTTCCCGGACTGTTCCTTTAAAGACTTTAACGTCATCACTGGCTTCAGAGAGAGGAAGGGAGAGAACGTGGACCAACCGGAGCCCGGAGCCCAGCCCAGGCGTGTGCAGGCATCGAACCCGCCGCCGTGGACGTGGGGGTGGTGTTCCCACCACGGGGCCACCGGCCAGGGCGTGGCTGCAGCTGCCTGGAGATCAGCCCCTGCTCCTCTGTGTGGCGTGACTCGGGCACGGGGGAGGCCCTGACCGCCACCCAGACCCGCAGTCCCCGCCTTCCCTTCAGCGGCGGATGTCCGCCCAGTGCCCGCCTCCGGCAGGAAGCCGGCCGTCAGGGGCGTCCTGCTCTCAGAGCAGTCACGTCAGCAGGTTCCTATCAGCAAACAGACACAAAGTCAGACCTCTGTGACACCGGGAAATGACCTTGACCTCCTGGCAGGAAGGCTGTGCACCGCTGACCCCGAGCCACAAATGGCCCAAACACAGGCCTGGCTCTTGGCCTCAGGCAGGCAGAGTGGGCAGCCGGCAGCGGGCAGGCAGAGTGTGCAGGCAGAGTGGACAGAAGGGCAGCGGGCAGCGGGCGGGCAGAGTGGGCAGCGGGCGGGCAGAGTGGGCAGCGGGCGGGCAGAGTGGGCAGTGGGCGGGCAGAGTGGGCAGTGGGCAGCGGGTGGGCAGTGGGCAGTGGGCAGGCAGAGTGGGCAGTGGGCAGTGGGTGGGCAGTGGGCAGTGGGTGGGCAGTGGGCGGGCAGAGTGGGCAGCGGGCGGGCAGAGTGGGCAGCGGGCAGGCAGAGCGGACAGGAGGGCAGCGGGCAGGCAGAGTGGGCAGCGGGCAGGCAGAGCGGACAGAAGGGCAGCGGGCAGCGGGCAGGCAGAGTGGGCAGCGGGCAGGCAGAGTGGGCAGCGGGCGGCAGAGTGGGCAGTGGGCAGGCAGAGTGGGCAGCGGGCAGGCAGAGTGGGCAGCGGGCAGCAGAGCGGACAGAAGGGCAGTGGGTAGCGGGCAGGCAGAGTGGGCAGTGGGCAGGCAGAGTGGGCAGAAGGGCAGCGGGCAGCGAGCAGGCAGAGTGGGCAGTGGGCAGGCAGAGTGGGCAGCGGGCAGCAGAGTGGGCAGCGGGCAGCAGAGTGGGCAGCGGGCGGCAGAATGGGCAGCGGGCAGGCAGAGTGGGCAGGCGGGCAGGCAGAGTGGGCAGCGGGCAGGCAGAGCGGACAGAAGGGCAGCGGGCAGTGGGCAGGCAGAGTGGGCAGCAGGCAGTTGGCAGGCAGAGTGGGCAGCGGGCAGGCAGAGTGGGCAGCGGGCAGGCAGAGTGGGCAGCGGGCAGGCAGAGTGGGCAGCGGGCAGCAGAACGGACAGAAGGGCAGCGGGCAGCGGGCAGGCAGAGTGGGCGGCAGAGCGGACAGAAGGGCAGCGGGCAGCGGGCAGGCAGAGTGGGCAGTGGGCAGGCAGAGTGGGCAGCGGGCGGCAGAGCGGACAGAAGGGCAGCGGGCAGGCAGAGTGGGCAGCCGGCAGTGGGCAGGCAGAGTGGGCAGCGGGCAGCAGAGTGGGCAGCGGGCGGCAGAATGGGCAGCGGGCAGGCAGAGTGGGCAGGCGGGCAGGCAGAGTGGGCAGCGGGCAGCAGAACGGACAGAAGGGCAGCGGGCAGCGGGCAGGCAGAGTGGGCAGCGGGCAGGCAGAGTGGGCAGTGGGTGGCAGAGCGGACAGAAGGGCAGCGGGCAGGCAGAGTGGGCAGCGGGCGGCAGAGCGGACAGAAGGGCAGCGGGCAGGCAGAGTGGGCAGCGGGCGGGTCTGGCCCCCCACTAGCACGGTGCTCCCCTCATCGTGGGGCTCGGGCTCGTGCTCAGGCGGCGTGCCCCGTGTGACCGCGGGCGGGCGGTCGCTCCGGCTGATGGGCTGCTGGGCCGTTTGACTTCCTGGCACGGAATTGCGCCGTGAGCACTGGGCCGGGCGTTGGGACGCCTGCCCAGGAGCCCGCCATGTGAGCGGCTGAGCACGGCCTGGGGGCGCCGAGCCCGGACGCCTCGGCCTGCACAGAGGACCCCTGGGCCCCGGGAGCACTGCTCACCTCTGGGTGGAGGTCAGAGGTCAGGCCAGAACACGGCTCCAGCTCCAGCTTCTGTCGGAAGCCGTGAGCGTCGCCCTGTGTCGCCGGCACGCTTGGAGGGTTCTGGACACGCCCTCGCATTCCTACGTGAGAGCCCGAGGTGGCCCCGGAGGTGGGCCGGGCCGAGCCACCTGTGACTGAGGCCTGTGTGAGCAGCAGGTCACGGGGGGGGGGGGGGGGGGGTGACAAAGGAGGTTCAGGTGCAGGAGGAACACCCAGCCCCGTCCACGGCTCCCAGCCCGTCCCTGTGCGCCTCCGTCTGCCCTCGGGGACGGCTCACCAGGCGGGAGCCGGGGCAGGAGCGTGGCCAGGCGTCTCCCTCACACTCCTCCCAACCCCACCGGCACCTCATGTTCCCGGGAGAGGCTGCCCACAAGGCGAGAGTCTCGTACCCTGACCCCCACCCCGTGCCCCGCCCTGCCCCCCCTCCCTGTGCCCAGCCCTGCCCCCCCGCCCCGGCCCTGCCCCCCACCCCGTGCCCGGCCCTGACCCCCTCCCTGTGCCCGGCCCTGCCCCCCCTTCCCGCCCTGTGCCCGGCCCTGACCCTCCCTCCCTGAGCCCGGCTCTGCCCCCTTCCCCGCCCTGTGCCCGGCTCTGACCCCCCCCAGCCCCCCTGTGCCCGGCCCTGACCCCCCTCCCTGTGCCCGGCCCTGACCCCCCACCCTGTGCCCGGCCCTGACCCCCCGCCCTGTGCCCGGCCCTGACCCCCTCCCCCCCTGTGCCCGGCCGGGACCCGCACGTCACTGGGTCAGTGTCCCGCTCCGAGTTTCCTGGCCCCTCCTGTGTGCAGCGGCGTTCCAGGCCCTCGGTGCCGCCAGGAGGTGGCAGGGAGCCGTCTCTGAGAAGCATACAGCGGCCCCAGTGACACAGCGTCTCTCGCACAGGTTCCCCGGGGGACGAGCTGCTGCGCAGAAGGTTCCGGAAGCCGAGCCTCGGGCAGTACGACAACCACATGGGAGGGCCGGCCTTCCCTCAGTGCGGGTGGGAGACCCCACCTTTCCTGTCGCCCGCCGATGCCAAGGAGGTACGCCCCTCTGCAGCCCCCCGCAGGCCCTCCCCCCCACAGCCCCTCCCCCCCACAGGCCCTTCCCCCCGCAGACTCCCCACCCCTGCAGGCCCTCCCCCACCACAGCCCCCTCTGCAGCCCCTCCCTCCCCCGCAGCCCCTCCTTCCCTGCAGGCCCTCCCTCCCCGCAGGCCCTCCCCCCACCACAGGCCCTCCCCCCCCCCCCGCAGCCCCTCCCCCCCACAGACCCTCCCCCCCACAGCCCCTCCCCCCCTCAGGCCTTCCCCCCCGCAGCCCCTCCCTCCCTCGCAGGCCCTCCCCCCCTGCAGGCCCTCCCCCCCCACAGGCCCTCCCTCCCCGCAGGACCTCCCCCCACCACAGGCCCTCCCCCACCACAGCCCCCTCTGCAGCCCCTCCCTCCCCCGCAGCCCCTCCTTCCCTGCAGGCCCCCCCCCCCCCCCGCAGACCCTCCCCCCCTGCAGGCCCTCCCCCCCCCACAGACCCTCCCCCCCCGCAGGCCCTCCCTCCCCGCAGGCCCTCCCTCCCCCATAGACCCTCCCCCCCCGCAGCCCCTCCCTCCCCCGCAGGCCCTCCCCCCCTGCAGGCCCTCCCCCCCCCACAGCCCCTCCCCCCCTCAGGCCCTCCCCCCCGCAGCCCCTCCCTCCCTGCAGGCCCTCCCCCCCGCAGCCCCCCCCACAGCCCCTCCCTCCCCCGCAGGCCCTCCCCCCCCAGGCCCTCCCCAACCACCTGTCTCGGGTCCCTCTGCCCCTGACCCCCGGGTGGGGCTGTGGGTGGGGAGCCAGCCTGTCCCGGCCCCACCCTCAGCCTGACGAGGGGGCCCCGGCCGTGTCCTTTCAGACGGGAACCCCCGACGAGGGGGCGGTCGACGGCAGGGCCTTCTCTCCGAGCAAGACCGGCAGCGGCTGCGGGTCGCCCGCCCCGGCGTTTCCCCCGTCTCCCCCGCCGACACCATATGGTGAGGACCCGGAGGGCGCCCGGGCCCCGCCCGCCTCCGAGGAACCCGCCTCCGGGGGGCGGGCGCACACACACACACACACACACACACACACACACACACACACCCCCGTCTCTTCCAGTGACCTCGCCCCCGCACCACCCCGCCTTCAGCCCGCCCGGGCCCCCGACCGGCAGCGCCAGCGGCCTGTGCCGAGCGGCTCACGGTAAGGCCCGCCTCCGGGCGCCCGGCTCAGCGGCAGGGTGAGGTGGCGCTGCCGGGAGGGGGCGCCCTGCCCGCGGCCCGCGCATGGCTGAGTGTCTGAGAGGCTTGGGAAGGCCACGGTGCCGGGTGAGAGGAAACCGGGCCCGTGGGCGGAGCCCTCGCGCTCCTGCGGTGGGAGGCGGCCTCGCCGGGCCTCGTGCCCCTGCTGCCCTGGCTCCTCGTGTCCCCGACGCGGGCACTGCCCTTGAGCGCCCAGGCACGGCAGCCGCCGGGCGGGACAGCTTCCGGAGCGTTCCGTGCCCGGCCGTCCTGGTTCTGGCCCGCAGCGGGAGGGTCGGGGACCAGACAGGGTGGCTGCGTGGGCGCCCCGCTCCCGTCCTGCCCTGCGGGCCTGCTGGGCGTTTGGACGGGCAGGACGCCGTGCTCGCCGCGGCCGGGGCCATGCAGGGTGCGGTGAGCTGTGAGCCAGACCCTCCGAGCGCCGGCCGCCTCGCTGAGCCTGGGCGGGAGCAGCGGCGTCCGGCCCGCAGGCCGGTGGGCATCGGGCCTGGTCCCCAGGGCGGCTGGGGGTCAGGCGATGGGAGGGTGTGCGGGCGCCCTGGCCCGTGAACCTGGGTGCTTCCTTCTGGGGTGCCGCCGGCGCCCCTGCGGCTTCCATTCCTTCCCAGGCCGAGCCGGGCCTGCGCGGACCTGGAGGGGCGGTGCCGTCCTCACGGCCCACGCCTGCGGGACTCGTGGGGAGCGTTGGGGTGACAGCTGAGGAGGGTCAGCCCTCTGAGCCGCTGAGGGCCGTCGGGGCACAGACGGACATTGGGGTGCTCACCCTGGAACCTGGGGGCCCAAACAAGGGTGTCCGTTGCCTGAGGGGCCCTGGCCGAGCATCCTGTTTGGGTTAGATCACGTTTCAGTTCCCATAGACTTACCATGACACGTGTGTGTCCATGTGTGTACCGTGTGTGTGCGTGTTGGTGTGGCCACGGCTGTTTCTGCATGAGGGAAAGGCCACGTGAAAAGTTAGCTTTGTTTTCCGATGGGTCAGCCGGTGGTGAGGGATGGGGAGGGACGCCTGACCCTCGGAGGGAGGCCATGGTCCGGCCCGAGGCCAGCGTGTGTCCGTGCTGACCCATGGCCCGTGGCCACAGTCTCGGAGACTCTGTGACGTGCCCCCGAGCACACCCACCCCTCGCTCCGCGCTGCTGCCCCGCCTGGGGAGCGCTGTCCGTCTGTCTGTCCGTCCCAGCCCTTCCTGGGCCTTCCCCCTGCTGAGCGAGGGGCGTGGGAAAGCGGGGCCGCCTCGCTGAGCGGCATTTCCGACAGCCCGCCGAGACAGGAAACAACAAGCAGAGGAAGTGCCTGCACCGGAGGGTCCGGGCCTTCCTGCCGCGCCGGGGTGGCCCGGGGTGCCCGGGCGGGGCGGGCGGCGGGGCTGCTGCGTGTGCACCGGCCCGGGCCCATCCCACACGTGTGGGAGGCGGTGCCCGCGGGGAGGGACCGTCAGGCCGTGTCCGCGCTGGGAGGGGTGGCTGGTGGGGCTGTGCCGGACCGTGAGGCAGGCGGGGCGGGGCGGGGCGGGGCGCGGTGCCGCTCGTGCGGGGCTTGGGGTAAACCTGGGAATGCTTCCATCCCCAAGGCCGCCCCCACGCAGACTCTGCTCCAGGGACCTGTTCCTGCAGCTCCAGGCACAGGAGCTGCCTGAGGGGACAGTGCCTCCCGTCCTGTGACAAGGGGGTCATCTGAAATGGGTTTTGACGAATGTGTAGGAGTTCTTCACCAGCTGGTGTGTGGGGTTGACCTTTCAGATAGAGGGCAGAATATGAGCAGAGAAGAGGGAGAAAGGGCAGAGTGTGAGCAGCCTGCTGGCGGAAGGGCCCAGCAGGTGAGTCCGCAGACGGCCCTGGGCGGGGAGTCCACCTGGGCAGGAGGGCCTGCGGAATGGGCAGGGCACAGGCTGGTGGAAGGTCCCAGCACTCAGGCAGGCGGCGGGCGAGCAGGGCGGGCCTCGGGGCGACGCCCCCACTAGTGGCAGGGGCAGGGGCAGGGCTCGGGCTCGGCTGACCGGCCGTTCTGGTGCCTGCCAGAGGGTTCTCCGCTGTGAGCATGGGGCCAGGGGGCTCCTCAGGGACAGGTCCTGGGGGAGACCCCCGCTGGTCTGCGTGTCTGAAGGGAAGAGGCGGGGCAGAGGGTTTCCCTGTGGGGAGTTTACGAGATGAAAGGGGGAGAAGGAAGCGGGGAGGACTCCAGAGGAAGCGACCACAGAGCTGAGCGGGCGGAGCCACTGTGCTGGACCGGGACTGACCGCCAGGCCCGCCCACCCCGCCCCGGCCCCTCACCACACACACGCACACACTCCGCCCAGGCCAGGGCTCAGGGTGGCCCAGTTCCCCCGGGACAGGATCAGAGTGGCTGTGCCCAGTGGGTGTGGGAGCCGCTGGCCACACCGGGCCTGAGGGACCGGCCACAGAGCACTCCGCCCGCCAGAGGCCCAGGCCCTTCCCTGACTGACTGCGCCCGCACCCAGGTGAGCTCAGCCCAACCAGCAGCTCCTGCCACTGGGTCTGTCTGCCCGCCCCCTCCCTCCCCCCTCCCCGCCTGCTGAAACCTGATCTGGGGGAGGGCCGGGGTGGGACCAGGTGGCTGTGGGGTCTGCAGGGGGGCGGGAGGGGGGAGCGGGGGGAGGGGGGCTTTGCCCAGTGTCTGTTGGTTCCTCGGAGGGAGGCACGCTGGGGTCCCTGAGGCTTGGGCCGTCCCCCTGCCCCAGGGCAGCTCAGAGGCGGCTTTGTCTGAGCGGCTTCTGCCTCTGAGAGCCTGGCTCGCAGATGTGGGCTGGCCGCCCTGCTTCCCAGCAGCACATTCTTTTGCTGAAACCGAGAGACGCAGAAAAATGGGAAAAATGTGCCTGCCCCATCCGTCCCAGGGCCGCTCGGACAGGGCCAAGGCTGTCCGCGCCGCCCCCCGCCGCGCAGGGTGGCCTGGGCCTCCGCGTCCCCCGCCCCCCCGGGAGCCAGCGCTGGGACAGGGTGGCCGAGGGCGGTGGGATGGGCTCTGCGGAAGGAAGGGGACGAGTGATGAGGAAGGAGGGGGCCGCGGCACTGCCTGGGGAGACGCCGGCCAGGGGCACCTCTCGGCACTCTCGCCAGCGTCCGGCCCCTCTGGCCCGGGGTCCCGCTGGCTCCAGTGGACCCGTCTGTTGGGTGTCCTGTGGTTTGGGCTCCGTCACCCCCCTCCCACCCCACCCTGTGTGGTTCCCGGGATCCCCCCAGCGAGCCGCCTGCAGCGAGCTGTCTGCTCAGCAGGAGCGGCTCTCACACAGGGAGCTCGGGCCGCGTCCCTGGCGCTGGGTGGAGCGGGCGGCCCACGTGGCCGTGCCCACGGGAGGTGAAGCTGGGCTGGACACAGTGCAGACCGGAGGGACCTGTGGTGTGGTCCCGTGTTCCAGGGGGACTCAGGGTTCCCAGGGGCTCAAGGAGGCGCCCGGGGGGTCAGGGAGGGATCCCGGGGGGTCAGGGAGGGGCCGGGGGGGTTCAGGGAGGCACCCGGGGGGGTCAGGGAGGTCCCGGGGGGTCAGGGAGGGGCCCAGGGGGTTCAGGGAGGGGCCCGGGGGGTCAGGGAGGGGGCTAGGGGTTCAGGGAGGCGCCCGGGGGGTCAGGGAGGCGCCCAGGGGGTCAGGGAGGGGCCCGGGGGGTCAGGGAGGTCCCAAGGGGTCAGGGAGGCCCCGGGGGGTCAGGGAGGGGCCCGGGGGGTCAGGGAGGTCCCAAGGGGTCAGGGAGGGGCCTAGGGGTTCAGGGAGGCGCCCGGGGGGTCAGGGAGGCCCCAGGGGGTCAGGGAGGCCCCGGGGGACACTGCCACTGTGGGGTCGAGTCCTCAGAGCAACAGCCTCCCTTCGCCCGTTTCTGGGCGCAGGCCCGGTGTGGGGGCTGTGGGCGGGTCGTCCGGGGACACGGGGCCTCCTCTCGGTGTCTGCTCCTCTTTTTAAAAGATTTTACCTGGGTTACATTTTAGGGAGAGAGGAAGGGAAAGGGAGCGACACATCACTGACGAGAGAGAACCATGGATCGGCTGCCCCTAGGGATCAGCCTGCAACCCGGGCAGATGCCCTGCTGGGAATTGAACCTGCGCCCTCCCGGTTCCTAGGCGATGTGGCCGACGGCCGCGGCCGTGGGCGGAGGCGCAGGTGTCCCTCCCCGAGGCTGCGGGCCCGGCGGAGGGTCCTCCCCGGCCGCACACCCTCAGGGGGAGCTCTGCCGTGTGCCGCCCCGGGCCTGGGCGGCCGTCTCCACCGGCAGCCCGGTGCCCGCTTCGGGGAGGGGGGTTTGCAGACGGACGGCAGTCGGTGCCGGGGCGGGCGGGCACGGCTGCCGGCGGGGATGAGGCTCTGGTGGACGTGGCGGCCGCCCACGGGAGTGCTCCTGGGAGTGCTCCCCAGGGGAGGGCTCGGGGAGCAGAGGGTCTGAGCCAGGTGCCCCAGCCCTGGGGGCGCCCCGCCCTCGGCATCTCCAGACCCGGCTCTGGTGCCCCCGTTCTCAGCCCGGGTGCTCTGGGCGCCCTCAGCACCCCCGCTCCACGTGGCCCATCCTCGCCCAGGCCCCTCGGCACCCGGCCCAGCGGCTCCAGAGCCGGAGGGAGGAGCGTGACCCTCCGGGCTGCAGGCGCCGGCCGGCCGGCCCCGGGTTGCCGGGGGATGCCAGCCGCTGGGAGACCGCTCGGCCGTCCTCCTGCGGGCGGACGTTGCCGGGAGACCGCCCGCGAGGGAGGGGTTCCGGGCGCCTGCGGGCCAGCCTGAGCCAGGGAGACGCCGCGGGCGGGCGTTCTCTCTGAGCCGGAGCGGAGCTGTGGGGGGGGCCGCTCCCGTCTGCATGAGGCCTCAGGGACAGGGACCCGCGCCCCCGGCCCGTCGGGGGAGTGGGCTCCCGGATGCTTCTAGAAGAGCTTTCCGGGACTCACAGAAACGGCGTCGCCGTGGAGACGTGTGTGTGTGTGTGTGTGTGTGTGTGTGTGTGTGTG